TCTCCTGGCTCCCACGTGCTTTTTCTTTTGTCTTTGAAAGTACATGACAATGATATCTTTCCTAAATATTATGTTCATCTGCTTTAAAAATCAAAGGGTACTGAAAGCTTCATAACCAAAACATCAGCTGTCCCCACTCCCTGTTTCTGTTGAAATAATATTTCATCTCCTAATATTTCTTTTGGAATCTTTTATCCCTTCTTATCCCCCCTCCCATGCTTTTTGTCCTCTCTTAACCTTGTGGTTGTACTAGAATGGTCAGAGGAGGGAAGAGAGATAAACACACTTGGTCAATCAGTCCTATTGGACAGAAGTCCAACACCTTAACCACGCTGTCCTCCATAAGATTCTGTATCCCCAGATAACCACATTTGATTGGAGTTATGGATGCTTAGTAAGTAGCAGCTATTATTCCAGTTGTATTATTATTAATATTTGAAGTGGAAGCAACTTCATCAAGAATGGGAGGCCAGCAGCTGCAGTGTGTGTTCTGGGAAGAGTCAACTAGGGGCTATAGGGTAAGAGATGTGGTTGGAAAAGCAGGCTAGGGTGAGAGAGGGGCCTTCCAACTAGTCTCCCTGCTTAGCCTTTCCCTCCCTTCTTTCTATGTTAAACACAGCAGCAAAGTGATGCTGCAAAATAAGTCACCCTATATTGCTCTTACACTCTAAAGCCTGACCTGTGCTAGCAGCTCCTGGCTCACAAGAGTTCCGGTCTGGCCTGTGCCTTGCGGCTCTGGAGGACTTGACTGGGGCCAGAGAATGATTTACATGAGAAAACAAAGAGCAGATAACTGCAGAGACGATCCCTCCCATTCACACTTGACCAATTTCAGAAAGCTTTCAGATCGACAACAGCATATAATCACAGGATCTGTTGTTTGGTGCTGACCGTGGAGTCGAAATCGGGACATGGCTCTGTCTTGACAGGGCAGCATATTTAAAATCAGGACTGTGAATCTTCACACTCATGGTGGTTTCTTATTTGGCTCTTTTGTCTGCGGGGCCAATGGAAGCTTCTTTCGCCAGGGCAGGTGGAAGTGGACTCTGGGATTTGCAGCAAAGGGGAGAGAGAAGGAGGGGAGGACCCCAGGGAGACAGCTTACTTCTAAGAGATTTACTGGGCCTTGTTTTTCCCCTACTCCTCCTCCCCATAGATCCAAGTTTGGGGTAAAGAAATTTGCTTCTTTGAGAACACTTACCAGTGCTTGGCTCAGTTCAAGGATAAAAAGAGAGTCAGAAACTAATAATTCTGAACGCTTTAGTGGGGAATCCACCTAAAATCCCAAACTGAAGTCAGTTTCATTGCCTGGGCTGCAAAGTGAGATTCATTTATAAATTTATTTCTGCTGCAGCTTCCACTGTAAAAATCTCCATGAGCCTTGAAACTGGATCACACTCTGGGGTGCCTCTATGGGGGGTAAGGGGACAGAGGAAGGGCAACAATTCAGGCTGCAGTTTAGGCAATGTGTTAGGCTCATCTGTAGCCCCAGGACCTTGAAACACTTGGATGGAGCCAGATATAAATCAGGATAGGATTTGGAGTAGTCATGATGGGCTCCAAAATGCCTTCTAGAAGGTCTGAGTTTCTCTGAGAGAGCACAGAATTGGATTGTTCAGCCTCTTCAACAGCCCCACTGACAAGTAGCCCAGTCTATTGCTATTACTGACACCAGGGACACTAAGTTCTCCACTGTACGGAACCACTGGGAGCAGTCCCAGTTGCCACGCCTTCTGCTCTGCCAAGACAAGTGGGATTTGGGTCACATGGCTTTATTGTCATATGATTGATACTGTAGAGGTTAAAGCTTCTGGGTGGTGAAAGAGACCTGTCCTCACAAAGTAAGAACTGCCTGGGAACAGGAGAGAGGAATTCCCAGATTCCTTGCAGCTATACATCAATGCCCCTGTGTTGAAACATACATCTAACTGCCTGAAACTCAGACTCACCAGTGAGTCAGCAATGCCTTACCTGAATGCGGATGGAAGGCAAAACAATGGGAATATCACAGGCCCAAGCCACATTGGGGATCTCTGAATCTTAAGAGTGCTCTTTTGAGAACAGAGAACTGACTCCTCCCAAGCCTTTGGAGGGGCTCACAAGATGTTCTTATTCCCCAGACCAAACAGATGAGGTGTATCTCCAGCAACAGAAGACTTCAGGGTGGACTATTGCCAGACCTCATCATTTGAAGAGCCTGGAAGTTCTTCCTGATCTCTACCTCAATTCCTTCTGCTTCATCCCCTTTTGTTGACTCTTCAGTAGAGTGACTCCAGAGTTGGGACTTTGTTTTCTTCACCATAGCATCAACAGTGCTTAGATACATGGGTGATTAAAAAAAAATAATAATTAGGGGCGCCTGGGTGGCTCAGTCGTTAAGCAGCTGCCTTCAGCTTGGGTCCTGGTCCCAGGGTCCTGGGATCAAGCCTGCTCTGCAGGAAGCCTGCTTCTCCCTCTCCCACTCCCTCCTCCTGCTTGTATTCCCTCTCTCGCTGTCTCTTTCTCTCTCTCTCTGTGTCAAATAAATAAATAAAATCTTTTAAAAAATAATAATAATTAACAACCAGTGCAGCACCAGTCAGAATAGACTCTGGTTGGGATGCTGAGCAGGGCCCAAGTGGAAGGGGCCCTGGGTTTGGATTCTAGTCTTGGTTTTGTGCCTAATTTGCTACGTGACCTGGAGTAAATCACTTGACCTCCTTGGACCTCAGTTTTCTCATCTATGAAAAGGGGGTATTTGGACTAGAAGTTGCAAACTCATATGCCTACAGGCTCAGGTAATTAAAGTAAATGAGTGAATCCAATAGGATGGGGTTGTCCTGACTTTAACATATGCATTCCATCTAAATGAGCAGCTGATGTCGGATGGAACTGCTGAGCCAGGCTGTCCAGAGCATTTGACTCTTCAAGAGATGCTGAAAATCTGGATGTTTATGTGAAATCCTCTGGTGTTTAAAATACTGTGTGAGTCAAACAAACATTTCTAAGCCAGTTTTACCCTCAGAGTAGAGGACTGGAAAGGCCCGCCCAGCTTGAATTTTCTGATTTAAAAGTATGTGTCTTCTAAAGAAAATCTTTAAGAAATCACCTTAGTTATGGGGATTTCTGCCAGTGCACAAGTGAATGCCTGCTTGTGGGCTCATGCTTGTATGACATAGGGCTTTTGGCTCCCCGTAAAATGATGCTTCCTTGGTGGTCTTCCCCCCACCCCTCACACACACCTGCAGTGGACTGTTTGCTTGGTCTCCAGAGCCAAGCCCTGAGCCAAATGGGAGATGCTGCTTGTCCAGTGAGTTCATCAGCAGTAAAGAGCTGGCTGTGTTGATGAAAGAGTCCTTCCCCTCATGAAGGGAAGAGTGGCCACCAGCAGTGGCTGAACCAGAAGCTGGCTAAGTCAGGCTTGGGGACTTGCTATGTTCCCAGGCCTTTGCTGGATATGTCCCTAAGCCGAACTGGCACCGAGAATCAAGTTCACACAATTACCGATCTGGAGTTCTCCAACACACCCGTATTAGTCCACCGGGGCTAATGGAACTAAGTGCCACAGTCTGGGTAGCTTAAGCAACAGAACTGTCTTGTCTCACAGTTCTGCAGGCTGGAAGTCCAAAATCAAGGTGTCCTTGAGGTTGGATCCTTCTGAGGGCTCTGAGGGAAGGGTCTGTTCCAGGCCTCTCTCCTTGGCTTGTAGATGGTTGTCTTCTCCCTGTGTCTCTTCACATCATCTTCCCTCTGTGTCTGTCTGCCTCTATGTCCAAATTTCCCTTTTTTAAATAAGGGCCCCAGTCATAGTTGATTAGGGCCCACCCTAATGACCTCATTTTAATTCGATCACCTCTGTCAAGACTCTATGTCCAAGTAAGGTCAGATCCTGAGGTATTGGGGGCTGTAGGACTTCAACATCTGAATTTGGGGGGGGGACACAATTCAACCATAACAGCACTCCTTCATGGTCTCTCACACATTGCTTTAAACTCCAAAACCTAAGTACCCTGCTTATGCCCCTTCCTACCTGTGCCAGCTCAGTGCTCAGTGCCAGCTTACTGGTTCAGAGCTCACTGTAAGCATGTACTCTATAAGGACTGGGGTTCACTGTAGTGGGAAAGGAGAGGGAACTCTCATCAAACACCTGTTAGGGGACATGTTGGCCTTGAATTTCAGGTAATAACAGGAGATGTCACCTCATTCTGTGAGGCACTGTCTATATACTTTTTATCCTTATACAAAAATTTCAAGTATTTATATATCACTCAGTAAGTGTCAAAGTACTGCTCCAAATGCTTTTTATGAAGCAATTTATTGAACCTCCACAACACCGCTTTGAGGTGGGTACTATTATTTACCTGGTTGTATAGATAAGAAACTGAGGCCCAGAGAGCTTAAGAAACTTTCCCAAGTCTAGTAACTGATGCAGTTGGGATTTGAATCCTAATAGCTCCAGAGGCCACGCTTTTAAACATTACCGGATAGTGACTGAAAAAGGCAGCAAATATCCTTGAATAGACGAGAAAAGTGAAACCAAGAAGCCAAGTAATTTACAGTCACTGGGGTGAGGGGCAGAATAAAGGCAGAATTCCTGCCCTGGAAGCCATAGGGCTTCTCCCTCCAAGGGACCGAGTGTCCTAAGTCCCTTTTCCATATCCCACTCACTTAAACAGGCCCACAGGTAGTGGGGCCAGCCCAGAATCTCTAAACCCTTATTTGTGGTTAACTGTCTCCATACCGCAGGGCAACTATGGGACAAGAGGAAAGGGGAGGCACCCTCTCCACTTTAGATCTGACTTCCCAGTTTCCAAGACCACCAGCCCCGAGGCGTAAGGCCCAGACGCGAGTCTGGGAATTTTCTCAGCGGGGGTTAGAAGCCGGAGAGTGAGGTGGGGAAGGGGCTGGGCGGCGCTGGGCCGCCCAGGAACACAGAGTATCCTATTTCTCGCAGCCCGCCAATCCTGAACGCGAGAGGGCGTGGCCATACCTGGGAGGCGTGGCCGGACGGCGGAGGGGACTGCGGCGTCCACAGGGCGAGGCGGTGACGTGAGTTCGGCGCACCTGGGTCGGGCAGGTAAGGGCCGGTGCGGGACGGGGAGCGGAGCTCCAAGACTCTACCTGCGCAAAGCCAGGTGTTGCTTACCCGACCGGTGAAGAAGAGCGGTGGCGACGGGTGATCTTAACTGGGGACGTGGTTCGGAGGGACGTCCACTTCTGGTCGCCGGATTGAGAAAAGGTGAGGACGCTAACTTTTGAACACTAGCTTTGGAAGGGGGTGGGGTGGTGGGGACCCACCCGCCCCAGAATTTGTGCGGTTAGGAACCTTGCTTGAGAACATCTGTTTGTTTGGGGAGACCTTCTGGGGCTGGGTGCCTGTCGCCCTGCTTTAGGTAGCTTCTGGGCGGTCCTAGCCCTGAAACACGGGGCCCCTCCCGAGCCCACACTTCTCTCTACTCCCTTTCCCTCCCTGCCCTACCGGAGTGTGCCGCTCTCGGCCCCTACCCACCCCACCATAGGCTAGAGCTACGGCGCCTCCGCCCCTCCGGTCTTACCAGCTCGCTGGGAGAAGTGTCCCAAAGAGGGGATTTCCCAGGCCTGCGGGCCTTTGGTCCTAGTGGGTGTTTGAGGAAATGGGGATGGGGCGGTCAGGAGCTTTAGCTAGTTTGTTTTTTCTCCTTGAATTTGTTTAGCAGTCAGGCCCCTACCTGGGGCCTGGGAGACACCCATGGATTTCCAAGTAGCCAAGCTTGATGCTGGGGAGGGTGGCGCTGGGTGTGGTTGCTCTGGGGGTGAGGCCCTCTTCGCCTGAAGGGGATGGAGGGTGGGTGTGGAAAAATGGGGAAAGTGTCCCAGTCCTGACTGGGAAGGAGACCCGGGGTGCCACTCTTTACAGGGAGCCTGCTTTGTAGTAAAAGGGTCATCTCTGTCCCAACCCTACTTTCCTAGTGCATGTCAAAAGTGGAATCCAGGGAAGGGAGAGGGAGAAGGTGCTTGAGTAGGAGTTGGTGAAGGCTGGTGCTGACCCAGGAGAGTAGTTTAGGGTTAGATGTGTGCATAATGCATGGCAGCAGCACCCAGTACCCTGTAGCTCCTTCTCACCAGCCCCCAACTTCTATCCAGCAGGGAGGAAGGGCGTGGGAATTAAGGTGAGAGGCATAGAATTTACCCTTAAGCGGGGCTAAACTAAATAGAGGTAAGATTGGGGAACTTGGAATATGGCCTTCAGTTCCCTCCAGGGGAAGGGAAAAAGCGGGACTACCTGGCAAGTGTGTTTTACTCTGAGCCAAACCATTGGCAGCCCAATCTTGAATCTCAGCTTTGAGGTAGTGGTGTCCCTGGAAACTAGGCTGGGCAGGGGCTGCAGAGGTGGTAGTGGGGGGTGTTTATAGAGGACCTGCTCCCTGGAATGGGTGTGTGAGAGAGGACGGTTAGTGCCTTGGGGAGGTTGAAAGTATCCCCGCTCAATGCCCAGTGTGAGGGGAGTGGGTTAGCATCTTTGTTTTTTGGCTGGGTGAATACCTATAAGACACACAGGCCTTGAATTTCACTGTGATGGCAGCTAGAGATACCAGGGCTGAGTTCAGCTGGGCTAAGTTTCTGTGGGCATTGAGATTTGAGTGATGTGAGTGTTTTGAAAAGAGAACTCTGAGTTAGGTGTGTTTGGGGGTGGGTATCATCCAGTCTCCTCCTTAACTACTTCCTTGGCCCTTCATGCTGCTGGGATCTTGTCAGTATTTTGGTTTACTCTCTTAGTGTGCAGAAGGAGGGACTTGGAAGGCAGGGTATTGTGGCAGGATTCAGTACTATGGCATACTCTGACTCAGGAGTGTTGGGTCCAGGCCCCAGATGAGGCACTTTTCTGTGTCTCAGTTAACCCAGCTATAAAATGGGGATGATAATAGTACTACTTCCAGATCATGAGGATGAAATCAAACACATTAAATAAAAGTGCATGTAAAAAACTGTAAAGCCTATGTAGGTATGAAGGATCGTTGGTATCATGGTCTCAGCAGCTGAAGGGCATCATCTTTTATACCTTCCAGTGGCCAAGAAAGGCCTTAGCTTCCTGTGGTTAAAAAAATACTACTTGTTGGTTTTTTTTCATTTTTTTAAAAGATTTATTTATTTATTTGACAGAGAGAGAGAGACAGCACAAGCAGGGGAAGAAGCAGGCAGAGGGAGAGGCAGGCTTCCTGTTGAGCAGGGAGCCCGATGCGGGGCTCGATTCCAGGACCCTGGGAACATGACCTGAGCTGAAGGCAGACGCTTAACTGACAGAGCCACCCAGGCGCCCCGGTTTTTTTTTTTTTTTTTCATTTTATTATAAATTGAAAAGGAAAATGTAGGAAAATGTGAATCATATACAGAAGTATATAGACAAGTATGAAATTCACCCATAATCCTATTACCAGGTAACGATTATGGATGTCTTATTACATTGGTGTATTATTTCTTTTCCTTTTTTTAATTATATGTATGTATGTGCAAGTGCATGTTATGTTACAGGATGGAGATAGTACTTATACAGTCAATATTGTATGCTGTATTTTCTCCCTTCATGTTGTAAACATTTCCCCAAATCCAATAAAAATTCTTCAGACACCCCATTGTTAATGGTTGCTTAATAGTGCAGCCTGTGTATATGTAATTAGCCATTTTCCTCTGTTATTTTGGTTGCTCCCAACTTTTCCCTCTCTGCCGGTTTTTAGAGCTCTAGTTACTGGGTGGCAGGTGGGGGGGATGCTGGCTGGCTTTCAGAAGGTAGAGAGGGTTAGCAGCGATGCAGGTGAGGCATGAAGGCAGGGGTGGGGTTGCTCATGTATAGTGCCATCTCGAGAGAATGCTGAGAACCCAGGACTCTAGATCTTAACAATCAATCTCTGAGATTGCTTCTCCTTCCCTATCACTATGTGCAGTTCTCTGTGTTGACTTGGTTGCTTTAATTTTTTCTTGACGAGCTGTTGATCAACTAGTATAAGCCCTTTTCTTCAAAGTCCATGGTCCGTCAAGAACTGGATTTCACATGTCTGACAAACGTAGACACAAGACTTATGGGTACTGCAATAGAAATCCTCAAAAGTCCCTCACGAGGTTGACCAATGTGCTGCCCATTTCCCTATTGTCCTTCCCTTGCTTCATTCCCTTTCCAGTAGGCTGGGACTGAGAAGGAGAAGGTAGAACTTGCCTTTAGGAGAATATGCATTCTCTCCTCCTTAAAAGGTAAATGCTGCCCCCCCCCCATTTGATGGCTTGACTTGCTGCCCTACAAAACAACCTAAACAAAGCCAAGAACATGGGGGTGGGATGGGGTGGGGGTACAGTTGAATATTGCATGCCACCCTCACCTGCCCACTGTTGAGCTGTGTTCCCAGGGGGAAGGTTTCAGTTGCAGGACTTGTTAATTGGGTCAGAAGTCTCAGGTAAGAGCTGGTCCTGCCTTGCTCTTAAAGTGCCAGAAGCTTAGTTGGGTTTGTGTTTTCCCTGTTGGGAGTCTGGCTGGGGAAGGAAGTGGTGTTAGGGGCCACCCCCTCAGCTAAGCTCCTGTGAGTGGGAGCCTTCAGCTGACTCGACTGGTTTGGTTTCTGAACTGTGATCCAGGTGGGGACCTTCCTGGGTGTGAAGGTGACTTATTTATCTTCCTTTCCTCAGGCCATTGTGGGGCTTGAGCAGTTCCAGTGTGGATTTCTTCAGGGAGTCTGATGAAAACGATGCCCTTTCTCACCCACAGGGTGCTGGATTCACAGTAGCCAATGAACACGTATTTGTTGAGTGAATGCGATTTTGCAGGCCTCACCTTAAGTAAAAACAAAGTAAAAGGAGAACACCCAAAAAAAATCTAAACACAACATCCCAGGCAAACAATTCTCTAGTGGCCAGTTTTTCCTAAAGGCACCCAATCTGGGCAGGCCTTTGTTTCCTGCTGTGAGTGCTGGCTGTTGCCGAATGTTATCTGCTATGTCCCTGTATTTTTATGAGAATCAATTGCAGACTTTACCCAGGCCAGCTCCTGCAACCAATGAGTTCACTTTAGCCTCTGTGGGGAGATAAACAGACCCAGGTGGAGGAGGCCATCTGAGCAGAGCAGAGCTTGTCTTATGATTGTTTTTAGCAGTCTAGGGTGAGGAGCCGTAGCATTTGATAATTCTGGGGTTCCTGGACTTTGCAACAAGGGTCCTTAGAGCCTCTGTCTCCCCTGTTCCCAAGACTTCTCCCAGCCACTGGATTGTCTTGTGGATAACCAACTCAAGACCCCTTTTTCTTGGTACAGAGTCTTTGGCTGGCCCAGAGCAAGGAGAGCTGACTTGAGGCCCAGCTCTTCGGATCCCCGTGGATACACTGCTTGCTCATCTCTGTAAGTGAGGACTTTGGAACCAGGACCCACCCCTTGCCTCCTTCTCTCTCACCACGATGGTGCCATTTCTTAACTAAAACATTCCCGATCACCTTTAGTTGTCTTGTCTAAAAAGAAAGTGTGCTTCAAATTCTTGCCCCTGTCTTTGCTGTTTCCGTAACTTTTTTCCTCCCGTCTCCTGAGATGAGATTGAAAAGAGCAATTTCACTTCTTTCTCAAAGCCCTTGGTTCTTCAGGAAGGACTGTGTTCCAGCAGGGATGATGTCATCTTTTTTTAATTTTTCTGCTTCAGGATTTAAATAGAAGAAATGTGATCTACTTACATGATAAGTCTGATTTGGCTAGAGCATGAAGAATAAATGGCTTTGGAATAAGAATCAAAAGAACCTTTTAACCTCTTTTCTTTTCTTCCCCACCTGGCACAGTTTATTCCCATATTTAGTTTCTTTGCTGTAATCTAATGAAACTGTAGCTCTATCATACGGGAACAGTGGCTGGGAAAAGTTCCCAGAGGCTGGCCTAATTCTCCTGCTCTCCCTACTCTTTACCCTCCCCCACAACCCCCCACAGATCATGGCCCTCCACCCCCGCAGAGTTCGGCTGAAGCCCTGGCTGGTGGCCCAGGTGGATAGTGGCCTGTACCCTGGGCTCATCTGGCTACACAGGGACTCCAAACGCTTCCAGATTCCCTGGAAACATGCTACCCGGCATAGCCCCCAACAAGAGGAGGAAAATACCATTTTCAAGGTAAAGGACTTCTTCCACCATCTGACTTAAAATGTTTTCCAGTTCTGTCAGAGCTTTCTGGGTTTTTTGGTTGTTGTTGTTTTGTTCTGTTTTCTATTTTGGCATGAGGAATACAGTAGATCCAAAATGCTGATGCATCAGAGAGAATGTTTATGAAGGGGGTGCCCAAACTTAGGCATAGTAATTTCTCTTGCTGGGGCACGTCTATAATGTTTGAGTCTGTTTATTTTTTCCCATTGGTTGAAGGTACTCAATTCACATCCCAAAAGATCCCAGGTGCAGTTGGCTAAACTGCAAGTGATTGTATTGGTGTGGTTGTTCCAAAAGCTCCCTAGGGTCAGCAAATGACTCTTGCTCTTCATTCACTCAGGGCTCTTGCTATGAAGAGAGGTGCTTGGGCCTGGGAATGACTCTTCAGACCAGGACAGAACTACTGAGTGTTAGCAGGTTCCTAACATAGCCTGTAGGATGGGCATAGAGGGCCCTCTGGAAGGTGTTCTTTTGATATTAAAACATCTTGCCCTATCCATAACCTCTGCTTAAAAATTAATGGCGATTTAGTACAAGTTTTGATTATACAAGTATGTTTTCTTAAATAAAAAGTAGCTCTGATGTGACAGTTGTTTTACTTAACTGAAAACAAGGTTTAATCAGATGGCATTTTACAAAATTTAACGCGGCCAAAGCTTGGCTTTAAGACAGAAGTAGGTGGGAAGCTGGTCATGGGGAGGGGTGTTATGTGGTTTATAACTCTGGACCCTGTGCCTCTGCTTCAGACCAACTTCTCTGTGCTGGTCAGCCTTCCATCTCATGAGTTACTTTAGTTCCTGCATCCCCACGACATGGAGAAGTGAGTTTAGCCTTTTCTTCCCTCTATAAGCTGGAAGTCAGAAGTGAAATCCAGTCCCTACCCTGGACCTCTCAAGATTGATGGCCCCAGGTTCTTGCTGAGATTGGATCAGAAGAAGTGGGTTCACCCCTCAAAGGAGAGCCATCCTAGAGATGTTTCCCACCCAACTCAATTATATCAGGTATAGATAGAATACAAGAGGTAGAGGGAAAATTGGCCTGAGAGCACTGAGAAAGACAGTAAATGAGCACTTTTAATTTAAAAAATAATGATATGGAAATGATAGGGAAAACATCTGTAAACCAGCCCCAATCACTGAAGTTGGCATCGAGAGGGGAATGGGCCTGCCCTGCCCGGTTGGCCTTTGGTTGTGCCCTTGGTTTGAAACTGGATTTGCCGTTGGTGGCTGGGGGTGGCTCGCCATGGCGGAAGAGGTAGGTTCCTGAAAGCCCGACGCAGGAGAGTGATCTATGTGTTCAGGGCTTGAGAAAAGGTGGCTGCAGAAAGCTTGTCTTATTTATATCTGTATCTCTGTTTGCAGAATGCTAAGGGAGGGCCTTGGAAGTCAGGAGAAGAGTGAGGGTGCTTTCACAGATCCCAAGCTCTGACAGGCCTTGGGTAGGATATGTGGGGGTGGGAAGGGGACAGGGGGGCACTAGCGTTAAATGGGTGCCTACTCTGTATCCCCTGTCCATTATCTCATTTAATTCTCAGCAACTCTGTAAGGGAGGTATTACTCTCATGTGTAGATGCAGAGGTCGAGTCTCCAAGGGGCTAAACAACTTGCCCAAATCAGGCAGCCAATAAGGGGTGTGGCCAGAATTTGAACCCAAGCCTATCTGCTCCCCTATTACCATATACCCCATTCTGACCAGGAATTGTAAGACCTGGTTCAAATCCTACCGCTATCAATGGCATGTATGGTCTTGAGCAAGTCACGTAATCTCTTTGGGCTTTAGCTTCCCCTTCAGTAAAATGGGGATGAAACCAGTCTTGCCTGCCTCACAGGATTGTTGTGAGAATTGAGTGAAATAATGTGTGGGGAGGGACTAGTGAATTACCATTAAAATACAGAGGTTACTTCCATTTCTGGAGGAGGAGTAGGGACCTGCACAGTGACCTGAGTGTCAGAAGCAAGGCTCAGAATGGGTCTGAGTAAGTCACATTTATAAATCACAATGATTGCCACGTGGTGGGTACTACCCTCTGCCACATCAGCCTTGGGCCCTCTGCACCATCTGAGTGGGCCCTGAGGAGCAATGGCTGTGTTGTGAGCAAGAAGGCTGGGGCTGTGGTTTTGGCTTAGTCTGGCTGCTCTCCGTGGAGGGGAAGGGATTTAGGGAGCCAAGGAACTCTGTAGACCTGTGCCAAAGTCAGCACAACCCAAGCCAGCTGGGTGGGGCTAGAGTGGGAGTGGCCACAGGGAATCAAATAAACAGGGTAAAATGTGGTGAGGTAGCAGTCAGGTACCACCAGGCACAACTGGAGATGTGCTTCTCAGATACTGTGTACCAGTGGCATCGGAATCCCCTGGAGGGACCCAGTGAACTGTATTTTTTCTAGAACAGCCATCTCAGGCAGCACCCCTCTATCAGACCTCTGCATCCTATACTGCAAAACAAATGCAGGTGCCCCCAAGTCTGAGGAGATGGTAAGAAGTGAGCCTGAATTAGAAGAGAAGGATTTGAATTTGTACCGGAAGAAATTTCCTCATGATCCATGATCATCAGGCTCTGACGGGGGAGTAACTGAGGGAGATCAGAGATCTCAAAGGATGGGGTGGAAAATTTCCATTTCAGCTTGAGGTCAGAAGCAGAGGCAGGGAGTTGGGATTGGACACGTGCCCTGTCTGTGTGAACAGGCTGGGGTGTGCTTCCTGGTCTTGAGGACTCTGCTAATGACATCCCCCTTTTCTGTATCAGAACATAACATCCTGAAGAAGCACAGAGATCTGAGAATATGTTAGCAGTGGGGGAGAGTGGATATCCCATGAGCAGAAACATACATGCTTTGGGACCCAGAAACTGAAAACCAGCAAGGAGGAGCCAAAGGTTTTAGCTCATGCCACCAGCCCCTGGTGTTTGCAGCAAAGTATTTCCAATGAAGTGGGACTTTGAGGAACTAGGGAAGGGCAGGGGTGTGGGTTTACTCAGACATGGGGCCACCTGAATGAGGCCCTCCGCCTCCAGCTGAACTCCCAGAGTACGCTACCTTGCCCCGTACAGGCTGTTACTCCTAGGGGCACTTGTTTTCTACAATTATTTATGCATCAGATTGAAGAATGTCTGGGGAGGGAACAGCAAGGCCAAATTCTTCATATCACATGCCAGCTCCCTTTGTCTTATAACATAAGTAATTAATGCCAAAAACAAGCCAAAATAAAAAATTTACCTGAAATCCTGCTATCCAAAGTTACCATTAGCATTGTGGTGTATACAGTGGATGCTTGAACAACATGAGTTGGAACTGCATGGGTTCACTTCTTTCTTTATTTTTTTTAAGCTTATTTATTTAAGTAATCTCTACACCCAACGTGGGGCCCGAACTCACGACCTGGAGATCAAGAGCCGCATGCTTTTCTGACTGAGCCAGCCAGGCACCCCTGCACCAGTCTACTTACGTGCAGATTTTTTTTTTCAATAAATACAGTACTATAAATTATATTTTCTCTTTCTTATGATTTTCTTTAGCTTGCTTTATTGTAAGAATATAGTCTATAATACAAAATACGTGTTAATCAACTGCTACCAGTAAGATAGTTAAGTTTTGGGGAGTCAAAAATTAAATATGTGGATTTCCAGACTTTTCTTTATTTCCAACCCTAATTATAGCCACTCTTGACAGGTGGTGCTGGCACCAACAGGTGAGATACGGCTCCTCCTTTCAAAAGTTTGTGTTTGCATATGGCTTAATTTCCCTCAGGCCCTGCCTGGCCTGGTCCTGAGGGTGGTGCTTCTTGCTGCAGGCTCTGTAAGTGGGGATCCGGATGGCAGGGCAGTCAGGCAGGGGTGTACACGCATGCGTGTATGAGAGAGGGTGCGCACACTTGGCAGTGTTTCTGGGCAATGGCAGGCATTCACTGCAGTTTCCTGTTCCTCAGGCCTGGGCTGTGGAGACAGGGAAGTACCAGGAAGGGGTGGATGACCCTGACCCAGCTAAATGGAAGGCGCAGCTCCGCTGTGCTCTCAACAAGAGCAGGGAATTCAACCTGATGTACGATGGCACCAAGGAAGTACCCATGAACCCGGTGAAGATCTACCAAGTGTGTGACATCCCGCAGCCTCAGGGATCAATCATTAACCCAGGTGAGGCCCCAGCTGCTGGCGGGACAGGTGGACAGTAAGCCAGGTTCTGGGCTGGACTTTTAAAGAGATAGTTGACTTGAATATCGCTTACAAAGTTTAGTTATAAAGCAAGAAAGCCTTTCCCTAGGAAGGACCCAGAGAACAAAAGATCTAAAGTCAGCAAAATCTTCTTGTTCATTTAGGGGAATAGTTACTGGCGTGACTGCTTGAAGCATGAGAAAGCACAGGGAGTATAGAGTCCTACTGTAGGTAGAGCTTCCCTTGAGACTCAACGCTTCGAAACAGGTAGTTTCGAAGATGGAGGAATTAAAACTTAGGAGGTTTGAGTTCTGAACCTGGCTCTGATCACTTTGCTCCTTGTGGGACATGGAATCAAGTCATTTGACTTTGAGCCTCAGTTTCTTCAGTGGTAAAATCTGGGCTCTCATCTTTCCTGCCTACTTTAAAGACTATTGTAAGACTCAATTGACATGACATTTAAAAGCTATTAAGTTCCCTTTGTAAATGTTGGGTGAGTGATTATTTAATTTGTAGGATACTTTTCCTAAGAGAATACCACCTGATCCTCCTATTTACCCAATGCTCAGCAAGTACCAAGAACCAGAAAATTTAGACTTGTCCTCCAATGGATCTAGTGAGGCCCTGCCCAGAGAGAAGGGTCTGTCCTCACATTAAGCTTACAAAGGGGAAAAGTTGGTGTCCTTGAGTCCTTAAAAGGGATGCTGAGGTGTGGCAAGAGGTTTAACAGTGGGAATTAAGAGATTTCTAGGAAAGGGGATAGGGTATGCAGCTCCTGGGTAGGGGAGGGGAAGAGAGTTTACATTAGAGCTCAGTAGGAGGAGTTAGAGAGCCAGAGGTTCATATACCTTTGGTTCTCACTCTTTTTGGCTAGGGCATTAGGGGTGCACACTGAACCCCAGGAGCCTCTGTACTGGTAGTACCTAGCATATACACTGGAGCAGCTGCGAAGATGACAGTGCAACCCCAGTGGCTCACTCGAGGGGTCATGTGTCTGTTTCTCGGTTAGGATCCACTGGATCTGCTCCTTGGGATGAGAAGGATAATGATGTAGATGAAGAAGATGAGGAAGATGAGCTTGATCAGTCACAGCACCATGTTCCCATCCAGGACACCTTCCCCTTCCTGAACATCAATGGTGAGTGGGGGTGGTAGGTGGTACAGAAGAATGAAGAGGATGGAATGGGCTTTGACTTAACAGCTACTGGCCCCCCCCCTTAGCCCCCGCTGCACTGGGGGCAGTGACAAGGCCCTGTGGCCAAGCTGCTGGTCTATTAGCAAGTAGGGGTCACAGATAGGGGAACTCTGCTGGCCCAGTTATCCCAGTGGGCAGCTACCAGGCATAGAGAACATCTTCTGAATCTTACAGATAATTCTGAGAAATTAAACAAATTCCTTCTCAATCCCACATACAAAGCATCAGTTGTTACAAATTTCACTGATTTCCTTGAGGCCAAGTGTAGATATCATTTTGACGAATTATAGGCAAACTCTTCCACTATTTCCCTTGGTATAAATTTTGTGTCATTTTCTTAGCAGGATCTACTCTGCTAAGGCTAGGTCATGGGAAACTGGTGGTTTCTACAGCTCTTAATACTAGGCTTTGGTAGAAGTTATCTGCAAGAGACTTTTTGCTTCTGTTATGGACTTTTTGAATTCAGCTTCCTAGGAAAAATGAGCTGAGAGGTTGGAAGATCACTGTGACAGAGCAGGTACTGACTCTTCCAGCGCACATTTGGAGGATGCTCAAACACAAGGTGAAGTGCTCTTCAGCATCTTCACTTGAACTGTCCACTGAAATGCTCCTAGTCTAATGCCATGCATTTAGTTGAGAAGCTCGTCACTGTGTTTCTAGTTCCATCACGCTGCTATGGGTCAGATGAGGTCCTTGTGCCACTTAGAAAATTTATCAAGATGATTCCTTTGGGATTTTGGAGTCCCCTACTTTAGGTGATTCCCTTACCTTTGAGAATCAGGAAATGACTCTTATTATCTGTCCACTTCCCTCCTTCACTTAACCTACCATTTATATCTTTACAACCAAGTGATGAGTAAAGAAAAATAACATTGAGCTCTTTCAGGTCAATATTGCCACATGCTACATTCCCACTTAATGATTTGAGTTGGTTATCTGGAAATATGAGATCCTTTCCCAAATCCTTGGCTGACTCATTCTGTTGTTTTCACCCCTTAAAAGGATGCAACCGGGGCGCCTGGGTGGCTCAGTCGGTTAAGCGCCTGCCTTCGGCTCAGGTCATGATCCCAGAGTCCTGGGGTCGAGCCCCACGTCCAGCTCCCTGCTCAGCGGAGAGCCTGCTTCTCCCTCTCCCTCTGCCTGCCACTCTGCCTGCTTGTGCTGTCTCTCTGTTGAATAAATAAATAAAATCTTTAAAAAAAAAAAAAGGATGCAACCTATTTCCAGGATCCTGATTTCCTATTTCTGTTCATATTTTACTAAAGCAAATGTTGTGTGGCCTTATGTTAGGAGTTACTTTGGATTCTTTTTGGGAAGATGTGGGACATCTGTTTAAAAAGTAGGGGCGCCTGGGTGGCTTAGTCGGTTGGATGTCCGACTCTTGATTTCCACTCAGGTCATGATCTCAGGGTCCTGGGATTGAGCCCCAAGTTGGGCTCCCTGCTCAGTGGGGGGTCTGCTTGAGGATCCACTCTCTCTCTCTCCCTTTGCCCCTCCCCCATTTGTGCACTTGCTCTTTTTCAAATAAATAAATCTTGAAAAATAAAAAAAAAAGTAAAATGGGTACATAGATTTAACCAGACTTTTGCACGAAGGGTCAAAGAAACATTAACTTCTATGATTTCAGAGCTGTTGGGGCAGAGGAAGAAGAGTTGTTGAAGAATAGATGCCTAAGAGGTGAGGCTAGGAGGAGAAATCTGTAGACTTTGGAGTGAACCAACTTTGAGAATAGCAAGAAAATAGGATGGGTATTTCATTTTCTTTCTTAAAAGCTTTAATTGCATTCTTTTTAATAAATATTGGTCTTATATGGTTTAAAATTTGTAATGGTACAAAAAGATAATCAACTGAAAGGTTTTCCTTCCTTCCTGTCTCTGAGCCCCCTGTTCAGTTTCCCTGGAAGAAACCGATCCTTTCATATTTTTGGGTATCCTTCCAGATGCTTTGTGCATGTGAAAGTATGTTTTTAATGGAATTTGTAAACACTCAAAGCTAATCAGCTAATTCAATTGAGTTCATTTTATAGAAGACAGTCAACTCCTATGTAATTGCTGGGGTGAAAATCTGCAACAGGGAACCTTTCATCCATGCTCATTCTAATTTAACTGCAGAGAAAACTCACATGTCTGGTAATCTTCAGCAAATGCACGTCTTCAGAACTATGAGTTTATGGGAGAACTAATACGATTAGGAAGTAGAAGTAGGGGAACTGTATTTCTTATTGTGTTAATTGTGGGAATCATTGATGGGCTGCCACACTGAGTCATAGTCCAGTGTTTGACTCTTATCTGTTGACCTTGTTAACGTTTTAGAGCCCCAGACCAGGTGATATACATATGTGGTGCCCCCCTGCCTGCTCACCCACATCTTTCTGTTCTAGGTTCTCCCATGGCACCAGCCAGTGTGGGCAACTGCAGCCCTGAAGCAGTGTGGCCCAAAACTGAACCTCTGGAAATAGATGTACCCCAGGCACCTATACAGCCCTTCTATAGCTCTCCAGAGCTGTGGATCAGCTCTCTCCCAAGTAAGTGAGACTTGATGTTTCTAGCTGGGTCTTCAGCTCCTATTATAGTCCCTTCCCCACCCTACCTTCTGCCTCCATTTCTTTGCCATGTAGGCAGCCTCTGTGTCTGGTTCCTGGCTGGCCAATGAGTCATCAGGGAAGAAGTAAAGAAACATTAGTTCATATTTATCTGCCCATGGGGATGCTGTGATCAGTTGCAGCTCGAGGTTATACACCTCTTATGTGGGTGGAAAGCCTGGTTTAATCACTTTGGTTAGGGGATCTGGGCATAAGGCCAGTTGAGGGATAGGAAGATTAATGATCATGGATTTGATCAAGAAGGTTCTTGGATTTTGAGGGGCTTTTGGAAGGGAGAAAATCTTTCTGAATTGAACACAAATTGATCTCAATGAAGAATCAATGTCACTGCCCCATCTCCCTTTCACACTACACATGGTGATAGTGTGGCTGGGGTGGGGGGTGGGGATGTGAGGGCTAGTATTTTGTCTAAGAGGCTAATAGCTTTGATAAGACCTATAGGGTTAATTGAGGCTTGATGAGTGAAAATTTACTCTGCCATGAACTGTGTCCTTTTATGGTAAATTATTAGAACAGATCCACAGAGTGTGCTCATGTGTGTCATATTTCAGAAAGACAAGATGGCTTGGTATTTTTTTCTTATTCTTCTGGTTTCTTTAAAAATGAGCCAAAAATGAGACAGAAACCAGATACCTTAGTCTTTAGCTTCTTCCAATGCCTACTACTGTGAAGACTCAGTCAGTGTATCTTTTTTTTTTTTAATGATTTTATTTATTTGACAGAGACAGAGATAAGAGAGAGCAGGAACACAAGCAGGAGGAGTGGGAGAGGGAGAGCAGGCTTCCCGCCGAGCAGGGAGCCCGATGCGGGGTTTGATCCCAGGACCCTGGGACCATGACCTGAGCCGAAGACAGACGCTTAACAACTGAGCCACCCAGGCACCCAGAAGACTCAGTCAGTATAAATGAGGAGACTTGACCCAGAAGTTTGCTTGGAGAAATTCTAGCCCTTAGGGTATAATGATTAAACAGAGATAGCATACATGGACCTTGAACTGTCTGCTTTTAAGGCAGCCTTTTGAGTGAATATTCCAGGGATAGGATGATGTCTTCCTTTGTTGCAGGAAGGGTAACTGTGGTAGTGAACTTCCTGAATGCTGGTTGAAAGGTGGCTTGATCTTGATGGACTTGCATGAGTCTCAGGGATAGATAGGCAGTGTATTAGAGCAGGACTCTCACTGTCCTCTCTCACCTTGCAGTGACTGACCTGGACATCAAGTTTCAGTACCGTGGGAAGGAATATGGGCAGACCATGACCGTGAGCAACCCCCAGGGCTGCCGGCTCTTCTATGGGGACCTGGGTCCCATGCCTGACCAAGAGGAGCTCTTTGGTCCTGTCAGCCTGGAACAGGTCAAGTTCCCAGGTCCAGAGCATATCACCAATGAGAAGCAGAAGCTGTTCACCAGTAAGCTGCTAGACGTCATGGACAGAGGACTGATCCTGGAGGTCAGCGGTCATGCCATTTATGCCATCAGGCTGTGCCAGTGCAAGGTGTACTGGTCTGGGCCATGTGCCCCATCACTTGTTGCCCCCAACCTGATTGAGAGACAAAAGAAGGTCAAACTATTTTGCCTGGAAACGTTCCTTAGTGGTAAGTCTTTTTTCAGAAGGTTGGTGGTTGGGAACTTCCCGGAAGTAGGTTTACCACCTTCCCTATACCCCCTCTCCTGGCTCTGCAAAGATCTTAACAAAAAACTCCTGGAGGAAGTGAAGGTAGAAGAGAACCTTAGTTCTTTTTTTTTTTTTTTAAGATTTTATTTATTTATTTGACAGAGAGAAAGACAGTGAGAGAGGGAACACAAACAGGAGGAGTGGGAGAGGGAGAAGCAGGCTTCCTGCCAAGCAGGGAGCCCTATGTGGGGCTCGATCCCAGGACCCTGGGACCATGACCTGAGTGGAAGGCAGACGCTTAATGATTGAACCACCCAGGCGCCCCAAGGACCTTAGGTCTGAGAAATGAAAGTGGCCTGGGCAACAAAGAAGGGCATTCCACTCCAAAGCTATGTACTTGGAAGCTATTTTTAGGTTGGCTGTGGCTCCTTTAGTGGCAGAAGAGGGAGACAGCCTTGTCATTACCACCAAATGCCACCTTAACTTTGGATGTTGACTTTATCATAATTAGCAAAACATACTCTTCTCATTTGGGAAATATCTGAATGGCAAATTCAAGCAGACAAATTTAGGGAGAACGCTGAAATGTGGATTTTATAGTATAATTTGAACCCCAGGTCCAGTTTAGTGATGTCCAATAGAACCCTCTGAAATGGTAAAAGTGTTCTATATTTGTGTTATCCACAATAGCCCACATGGGACAGTTGAGCACATAAATGTGACTCATATGACTAAGGAACTAATTAATTTTAATTAATTTAAATGTAATAGCCACATGTGGCTAGTGACCACCATATTGGACAGCATAGAAGATGGTATTTACTGAGTGGATATGGAATGGCCCAGTACACCAAACTTGCTCTTCCACCTTCTACAGATCTCATTGCCCACCAGAAAGGACAGATAGAGAAGCAGCCACCATTTGAGATCTACTTATGCTTTGGGGAAGAATGGCCAGATGGGAAACCCCTGGAAAGAAAACTCATCTTGGTTCAGGTGAGGATATAAGGATGTGTCAACAACTCTTTGCCTTTTCACCAGTGCTTTAGGCCCTAGGACTAGGGTTATGCTGAGCAAAGATCCATCAGCCTATCTGCATTTTATTCCCATCAGATAGAATAGCAGACTCAAGCTTTGTTTATTGTAAGAACCAAGTAGGTCCTATCAAAATAGGACCAAGCTGGAGCACACAGGGTCCTCGAAGTGGATGACTGGTTTAGTGAAGACCTTACCTTGCATTCTCTTACTGACATTAAAGTCTTGCTGAAACCTAACAGTATATGGTCTTTCCACCTCTTTTAGAAAAACCTTTTGAGTTACTTTTAAGAATGTAACCTTATTCTAGTAAGTGGCAGCAAGACCACTTGGGTTTGGTCCCTGGATTTGTAAAAAAGAGTCAACAGATGAAATGTGGGTAAAAGTCTTACTAAATAAGCAGCTGTTTATTTAGACATGTGATGTGATGAGATATATAGGTTCTTCACCTTCATTTGAACCAAGTGCTAGGGTGAACCTTAGCAGGATGGTCCAGAGAGAAGAAGGCATATACCCTGTACCTAGACATAAGGGTTGGGGGCTTCCCCAGGGCCTCACTGGTCCCTTCTATCATCTTGAGTCCCTCCTGCTATTTAAAAATACCTTCTCTTCAGTGGATACCTGTGTACTCTGTGTCCTAAACAGGTCATTCCAGTGGTAGCTCGGATGATCTACGAGATGTTTTCTGGTGATTTTACGCGGTCCTTTGACAGTGGCAGTGTCCGCCTGCAGATCTCAACTCCAGACATCAAAGATAACATCGTTGCTCAACTGAAGCAGCTGTACCGCATCCTCCAAACCCAGGAAAGCTGGCAGCCCATGCAGCCCACCCCCAGCATGCAACTACCCCCTGCCCTGCCAGCCCAGTAATCATGAATGCCATCTTTTTTACAAATTGTACATATTGGTATTTTTTATTACTCAGATTTAACCAGCTTTTAAACTTCTTCTTTCTGTTAGTGGCCTCCAATTCTCCGCATATGCCTGGCTTTTAAAGTTGATTTAATTTATGGAAAAATCACCCTTCTTACTCCCCCTTTCTTTTTTAAACCTCGCAGTGTTAGTATAATGTAGTAGAGGGCCTGGGACTTTGGACAGCAGCGTTCTAGCTGCAGCTTTGCTTCAGTGGTGTGACCTTGAACCACCAAGTCATTTAACCTCTAGGCTTCAGATTCATTAATGTAAAATGAAGGGGTGGGAATAATGCTTGAAATAATGCCAATGAAAACTCTGACCTGATGACTTCATTCTACTTGTACAAGGCAGAACTGCCTGGAACAGAACCCTTCTGCATTGTTCTTGCACCACATTTTTTTCTTGCTTTCATTAAAGTTCCCTCAAGCACTGATTTGTCCAAGATTGATCTCCGTTTGACCTGTTCTGCTAGTATAGTAAGCTGGCTCCCTAACGGGGTAAGTGAGAGGGAGGGGAGCTGGCTGGTTGCTTAGGAACCAAGCTTGATATCTAAATAGAAATAGGTGCCAAAGTCTGAAAATCACCTGGTCTGTGGAGTAAAAGCTCATAAACTGGGCTCCTCAAGGGAATCTGTCAACAGAAGGCCTAGGGATTCTGCACAGTTGGTTGTCAGGTGTTTACCTTGCCACCACTCAAATAACACTGTATGTGTGGTAGATGAGAGTATGACTCAGTGGTACCTTTCAGAGAGGATAGAGCTCTTTTTCTAATTCTTTGAGGAAGAGCTGAGCATCTAGGACAAACTCCTGACTAAAAAAGCAGCAGTTCCTTCTTGTTTGGAAACTTTTACAGTCTTACTATCATTTGGATTTTTTGCATTTGAAAAAATGGGGGTGTTCAGGGTGAAGGAGGATGGGGCAGTGCTCTTCTGTAAAAGGCTCATCTGGCCCAAACCTGCTTGTCTCCCTTCTTGTGGAGGTAGCTGGGTGTGGACTACTCACGTGAAGAGTGGTGTAGAACATTGTAGCTATGGCTTCCACAAACTGGTCTTATCTATTAACTTTTGCTGATCTTTTTGCCCTACCCCCAACCTTAAAAAAAAAAAAAAAAGTATTAATTTAAACTCCAAGACCTAAATGGAAAGCAAGATGTTAATCTCTGATTGCAGGCCCCTAATGCTCTTGAATACTGACGCCTCTCTGTGCCAGGCTGTTATAAGAAAACCCATGTCTAGTGTGCTACCCTTAAACTAGGCCATCCCCTACTTGCTACTGAAGTTGAGCTAGCTAGCTTCGAAAGCTATAAGCTCAGTTCAGTTACAGGTGGCAGTGGAACTTACTTAGAATGCTGAAGCTGTGGTTTTAGGGTCTCTCAGGGACGTAATGGGATCTGCTGTTACTAAAGTATGACCAAGAGAAATCTGAGTAAATGTCAGGTGTAGCTATGAGCAGAAGTTGGGCTTCTAGAGACCAGGAAACACGCAAGGTATAGAAACTTTATATTTTTTGGTCATTTTGTTGAGTGGGTAATGTGAAGGATTTGGTTTTGGTGTCTGGCTAACTCTGTAACTGCACAGCTCAAAGTTAAAAAGAACCCACTGTTAGGTAAATTGGGAGGACAACTGCTAGATCTGGGTAGTCCTTTTCCCTCATACTGTGTGAGGCTAATAGCCAGGCTCTCCATCTGGATGGGGACCCAGATAATATGAGCTGGCAAAAGGTGATGAAGATTGTTCTGAAGGGCCGAGAAGGATCAAACTTGTTGTATGTGATTGTAATGAAAAGTTTACAAAGATGCCAGAGGAGTGGATGAGTGGTTTTATGTAGTCTTAACCAGAGAGCCCAGTTTCTTCCATGTTTTTTTATCGTTTTCAGAATCCTGGGAGAGGAGCGCTTGGGTGGTTCAGTTGGTTAAGTGTTGGACTCTTGATTTCAGCTCAGGTCATGACCTCAGGGTCATGACATTGAGCCCCACATTGGGCTCCACGCTCAGTGGGGAGTCTGCTTGAGATTCTCTTTTTCCTTCTTCCTCTGCCCACTCCCCATCTGACCTCCCCCACTCACTTGCTCGCTCTCTCTTTCAAATAGTAATACATCTTTAAAAAAAGAAAGCTGGGTGAATGCATGCAGGGCTGTTCACTGATCTCCCTCAGTGTTCCTTCTCTGGTCCTGATGGATAGATAGATACCAGGTGCCCTTTCTTTCTTGGAGACTGTTACTTCCTTTGGTGGCTACACCACACACTCTCTTGGTGTGGTCTACTTTCTTGCCTCCACCTTGTTTAAGAGAGGAAGGGGAATTAGATGGTGTCACTAGCTCTTCTTTTTGTTCTCTGTCCACCCCGCCAAACTGGATTAGCTCAAAGTTAAACGAAACAAAACACTATAGGTAAATTGGGAGGGCAAGTGTTGGGTCTGGGCTTATTCCTTCCCCATATAATTAGGTCTCTGGTTACATGTATATGTTCCCCTATCATCCTATACTTCTTTTTTCAAAATAATCAATTCGCTGTAATTGCTCAGCATCTGTGTCCTATGTGACTCCTACCACCTGCTTTGTTCAAGGGTCAACTGTGTTTGTTGTTAGAATAAATGAATGAACTAAATAAGTCTTTCATTTTACAGATTTATTGCTAACGACCATGGGACAATAAAATAAATACGGGGAAGGAAAATATCCTAAAATTAGTTTCTCGTCTCTGCTTCTGACTCCCTCTGAGCTAAGAGCCAGTGTTAGCCTGGGAGCTCCCACACACTGATCCTCCTTCCAGGCTGGCCCCATCTTTACTCCATACTTGTCTATTTTCACCTTCTGAAGATACCACCAAGGTAGAGCCAGGAGTGAAACCTCCAGTATAGGAGCCCACAGTTCCCTTTGCCTCTGTCCTGCCCACGTAGCAATACATTTGGGCCATTTCCTCAGATGAGCTTTCTCAAAAAATTACCCTATAGCTGGCAGTTTAGAGGTGTTAACCCTTCAGTGAAATAACACTTTCTTCTTACTGGCCTGACTGAAAAGCTTCTGCCTCTCTGCTCATTTCTCATGTGAAGTCAGAAAACTGAATTCCTCGAACTTGAGCACCGTGAAAGTGGGGTTTTTGTCAATTTTGTACGTTGTAATATCGCCGGCGCCTAGAAATATGCCTGGCACACATTTATTCCGAGTGAATAATGCTCATGCCCTTCACACCCTACTTAGAGATGACAAATCTTGGACAGGACAGCATTTGTGCACCCACCTCTAGGAATTCACCCTCTCAAACTCAGGATTTAGGCAGGTCAAAGTAAATAGACAACTAACTTTGTAAGGCCACTCACAGGTGAAGACACTCTGCAAAACATGTCGCTTGCCTCGAAATAAGCTTCATTTGGAGAAGAAAGCGCATTTTCCCAGACAAAGCAAAGTGTGTTTTTGCGCTGTGTCCCCTTCTCCGGCTTCCCCGACTTAGTAACACGACGGGAAGCTACGTGAGGCTAGCCGCAGCCTATTACTTTCCCAGATCCCGGCTTCCGTCTGGCCGGAAGGGGCGGGGCCGCAGGCCCCCACACTTCCGGCACAGCCTGGCGGGAGGTCCTAACGCGAGGCGCGCGAGCGGACTGGTTAACGTCACGGAAAGCGGCGGGAGGGCTGGTGTTGGACATGCGCAGTAGGCCGGCTTTGCCCACCTGGATCGCGGCGCGTTGCAAGGGATTTCCAGTGTTGCGGCGGTGCGTACGGGTTTCGGCGTTTTTTCGGCAACCCACAGGAAGAGGGAAGACGCTTCTGAGCCCGCAAACCTACGGCGGAAGTGGAAGCAGAAAGTATGTGTGAGAGAGAGCCCTCTGACTCATTGAAAAAATCACTATAATATGCTCAGCACTGGGTGTGGGGATTGGAATGAGCCCATCTTCCGAAGGTCCGTAGATGTCGGCCAGAAGGGGAAGAAGGCGGGGCCGGCAAAAGTAAAATACAGCCCTCCTGCAGTTATACAGATTTTATTACTTTTACGTCCCAGGGTGCAGTGGTTCTGAGTCCATATTCTGGTATATATTAATCAGATCGCTATTCTTACAGCTATTGGCGGTAAGATAAGGGAAAGTTGGCAGTGGAAAGAGGGCGTTTGGAACCTAGAATTCTGCCTCAGAAGGGCAGTTTTAGGTAAAATGCCCAGAATTTTGCCAAAGACGGCCCTGCCACTACTCTTCCCCAGAAAGTAGTTTACAACAGGTAAAATTTAGAAGAAATCAGAGAGAATGTAAACCTAGCCATAAGGCCTGAAAGACACATGAATTTGGGACTAATGGAGACTAAGTCAACCGTAGAAATCAGGCAGCATTGTCAATCCCATCTCTGTCTGATCTGGGTTAGCATTTCAAAGCAGAGGGAGGGACAATAAGATCTTTGGAAGATGTTGTAAAACTTAGGGGAAGGCTGTTGGCAGGTTTCCTGGTATGTCACTGACTGGTGTTAATAATCCCCTGCTACTGCTTTGTTTTTAGGCCCTTCCTCAAGTGTCTGGAGCTCAGAGATGCGGCCCAGGGGAGGGAACTGTAGCTAGGTCAGGAGGCCATGCTTGCTGTTGCTTCCAGATCCCATGTCAGCACCGAGTCCTCAGATGCTGGTGGCAGCGGCTCAGCAGACCCTGGGCATGGGAAAGAGACGGTGCCCACCCCGAACCGTCTGCCTTCACCTTGCTGGAGAGGTGCTGGCTGTGGCCCGGGGACTGAAGCCAGCTCTGCTCTATGATTGCAGTTGTGCAGGGGCATCAGAGCTCCAGAGCTATCTGGAGGAACTGCAGAGCCTGGGCTTCCTGACCCAGGGACTTCACATCCTTGAGATTGGAGAAGACAGCTTGATTGTCAGTCCTGAACACGTATGTCTGCACTTGGAGCAGGTGCTGCTTGGTACCATAGCCTTTGTGGATGTTTCTGGCTCCCAACCTCACCCTTCTATTTGCTCCCTGGACCAGCTTCAGGATTTGAAGGCCTTAGTGGCTGAGATCATCACGCATTTGCAAGGGCTGCAGAGGGACCTATCCCTGGCAGTCTCCTGCAGCAGACTTCGTTCCTCAGACTGGAATCTCTGTACTGTGTTTGGGATCCTCCTGGGCTATCCTGTTCCGTATACCTTTCATCTGAACCAGGGAGATGACAACTGCTTAGCCCTGACCCCACTCCGGGTGTTCACTGCCCGGATCTCATGGCTGTGTGGTCATCCCCCAGTCTTGCTCTATTCCTTTAGTGTGCCAGAGAGCTTGTTCCCAGCCCTGAGGGAGATTCTAAGTACTTGGGAGAAGGACCTTAGAACTCGATGTAGGACTCAGAATGACTTTGCTGACCTGAGCATCTCCTCTGAGATAGTCACGCTGCCAGCAGTGGCTCTCTGACTTTCACTCTTCTCTCATGTAGAAGGTACTCAGTAAATGATCAGCTGTAGCTCAGCGATGGCATCACAAGTACCAGTTCAGAACATCTTGAGAACACTAGGGAAAAATGCTGTTATCAGTTGTCTGCATCGCAGCGGGCATGGGAATAGTGGTGGTGGCATTGGTCGTACGTATTTGCCATTTCTATGCTAGGGAGTCCTCTTTGCTGAGATATCTGTTGATTTTTCACTGGAGAGGAGGTAGAAGAAAAGAGATTGTGGAGAAGGGTAGTGGAGGACAAGTATATACTCTTGTGTGGTAGCTGTAAATATACCTGCCCTCGTGGGTAGTGTCTGCCAGAAAGTAGAGGACTAGGTAGGTTTTACCGCATGTTTGTATACCACCAACTGAATTGGACTAGGGAGGAGACCAGGATGCCCAAATGTCTTATGTTTGTGATGTGACATGTCATTCAGGGGTACACTAAGAGTTCTGAGGAACAGAGACTGTTAGGTGAAGTTTGTTTATTTTACAGTAGGTTAAAAAAATAGAAATCTCAGGTGGGAAAACCCACACTTCAAAGTATGTCAATCTGCTGAGTTTTTTATTGAGTTTCTTGCTTCAGATTTTCACCCAAGCAGCTGTCACAAGTGATTCAGATCATCAGGCTGTCCTTGTTGGCCAGGAACACTGCCAGTGCTATAGCAATCACTACCATCAGCATCGAGAGCCATCGGCCACATTGCCTCTGTGAGGAGGGGGTGGGGGAGAGAAAGAGGCCATGGGTTGTTTGGAGAAGGTACAGGGAAAAATTACCTTCCTTCTTCCCATCCTAGCCCAGTGGAAAAACTTAGGTCAGTAAAGGAGAAAAAGCTTTTTATATCACTGTCTGTCTCACTTGGTCACTTCCTTTGGGATAAAACCACTTTACTGCTGGTCACTGGCCCCTAAGCCAGGATTACTGGCTTAGGGAACCATACCCAGTGAGGGCCAAATACTTAAGTACTGATAAGAATAATCAAGGATGAAAAATAACTCAGCAAGATTATATAATTCTCTATTCGTATTCCTTAGTACTTTTGCTCTCCTCACTCTTGCCACTAGCTCATAATAGGCTAAAAGAACACCACTTCATACTTTAGCTAATAGTAATTCCCTTTAGGCTCTAGAGTTCCATGAAAATTAGGCTTGGATGCATAAGCCAGTGTTTGCTGACACTTGCTATACCGTCAAGTATATAAACCAAGTTGAATGGAACAGGCTGGCCAGATGTTGGCACAGGCTGATAAACTTTATCTGCAAGATTTGGCCAAAGGAGGAACCGTCCCACCATCATCCAGGGCGATACGGGAGAATTGACCCTCTTACTCTGGGAGGCGGCTGTTGGCTCTGGTTCAGCTCTTCTCGACAGTGCTGCAGCTTACGCAGGCAGGACAGATACTCGTCACTGAGGTTGTCTAACTCCGAATGCAGTTCTCTGCACTGGGGGGAGAATACCACCAATGTCATCACTACCAGTTCCTTCTGGGACAGAGCGCAGGTCAGGGCGAGGGCCCTGTGTGAGTTACCCCTTCATTCGTTTGGAATTTTTACCACCATACTCCCTTCCCAGCCTTTCTCAGGGGTTTCAGTTTGCCTTTTGACTGTCTTACCTAGTTTGTCTGGAATGTGTTCATTTAAATGATTGATTATAATGCATATTATAATATTACATATTATACATGTCAGTGGTCTCACGTGATTATGAATGTGCAAGAGCTTTGTAAATGGGGGCACCAAAAAATGAAGTTCTTCTTCATTTGTGATCTTAATACAAGCATCTTCACCAGGATATAGTTGAGTTGCATGTGAATACTGGGGATATGTATGGTTCCGAGTCTAGATGGAAAGAATTTTGTTATTTAAAAGACACTATATATATAAAGTTTTAAGATAACTCTAGGACAGAGTTTGAGGGGTTAATATGTTTATTAAATGTGTTTGAGTTTAGGTTGACTTTACAAAAGGTAACTATTTGATAAAACCTTGGTACAAATGAAGAAGGGAAAAGATTGACAAATTATCCCACAAGCAAAGACATTTATAAAGGCAGATGAATACCTGCTGGCATCCAGTCACGATTTAAACCTTGAAATCTTTGCTCTCTGGCTGCCTCCCAGCAGTTTTCCCTACCATTGTGGGATGATCCCCTCACTATCTTTTTTTTTTTTTTTAAGATTTTATTTATTTGACAGAGACATAGCAAAAGAGGGAACACAAGCAGGGGGAGTGGGAGAGGGAGAAACAGGCTCCCCGCTGAGCAGGAAGCCCGACGCAGGGCTCGATTCCAGGACCCTGGGATGAAGCCCGACGCAGGGCTCGATCCCAGGACCCTAGGAACATGACCTGAGCTGAAGGCAGATGCTTAACGACTGAGCCACCCAGGCACCCCGATCCCCTCACTATCTTGAGGGTCACCGTCTCACCTCCTTTTCCTTGGCCTGGAGCTGCAAAGTCTTCTTTTGCAGCTGGTCTCTGAAATCCCATTCTTTCTCCTTCCCTGTACCCTCAGGTTCCACTTCATTATGGGAGGGCTTTGGACTCCACACAGGCAAAGCCTGATCTAAAAAAGCAGCCAGATTCTCAGTGATGGTGAGGTCCATACCTCTGAGGGAGGGCCCTATCACTGAGAGAACCCTGGAGTGAGGGGAAGGGAGGAGAGGGAACAAGAGAGGACCTGTCCCTGACGAGACTGCATAGAGTAGAATTCTCTCACTTCCTCCCATTGGGACCCTGCTCAGTCTTGACACAGAGCTGGAAATCGAGCCACTTGCAGGCAAGGTTGGCATCTTACTTTTCTTCGTATCCCTAGTCCTGTTTAATGGCATATAGTTCTAGAGAATACTTAACTAATTCATTTTCTTTTGTGGTATTTCTAGTAGGTTTGCTGGTTGCTTCAATATAACTAACGCTTTCTCCCTTCTGGCCTCATTTCAGTCTTGAGAATGGCCGTCCTAGCCTAGAATTCATCTTCCTGTGGTTAAAGGTGGCTTCTGAGCCACGTGGCAGTCTTAGTCTTGGTGAAGAGAGCACTGAACTAGGAGTCAGAAATTCTGGATTGTTGTCTTAGCTGTATCCTTAATTCTTATGACCATAGACTTTCATTTTCTTGCCCATTCAATGTGGGTATCATAATTCCTGCCTTATCTTTTACATAGTGATTGTGATGAGAAAACAAAAGACCACATGGAGTGCATAAGTGAGGAACGTCCCGCTCTCAGCCCCATACATGATGAATTTTTCTCAGGGAGCTGAGGCAGCAGACTCTTGAGGGCTCAGAGTGAGGTTGCATGCAGCATGGTGTGGACTTGGGGAGTTGGATGTGACTGGGAAAGTCAAATGTAAAAACTGACATTAAATCCTGAGTTCAGAATCAGTTTATTGAAATGTTCAACACAGACACTGGTTTTCAGAGAGAGTAGAAATTCTTTTCACAGTTTATATACCTCTCAGGGTAGGAGGCTAACTGGTTAAAGTTTCTCAAAGCCAATGATCAGTCCTTAAGAAGCTCCCCTGGATCCCTGCCCTAACAGACTCTTAGAACTGCCTGGGACTCCAAGAGGTCACATAGTCCATCACCTGCTTCTAGGCAGGCAAGGGAAGACCACTAGCTTAAAATCTGTGGACGTAAATTTGCTGACCTTTCTTGGTTAAGAGTTTCTCCTGTTCTTGAAGCTGTAAGGATTGATTCTGGAGCAGACCTGTGGGAAAACACAAGGAACTTGTCTTTACTAGTGTATCTACTGCAGTGTCTTTTCAGAACTTTGCTTCAAACCTTAATTATTTAAGATGTTCCCATCTGTTACTGGTTGAATTGTGTCCCTCCCCCCCAAACTCACAGGAAGTCCTAACCCCTAGTACCTCAGAATGTGACCTTATTTGGAGATAGGTTCTTTACAGAGGTAATCAAGTGTTTTAGAACATTAGAGTGGGCCCTAATCTCATACGACTGGTGTCCTTATAAGAAGGGGAAATTTCAACACAGAGCTAGATAGAAGACATCTGAAGAAACATAGGGAGAAGAAAGCTATCTACAAGCCAAGGAAAGTGGCCTGGAACACATCCTGTCTTCAGAACCCTCAGAAGGAATCAGCCCTGCCCACACCTTGACCTTGGACTTGTATCCTCCAGAACAAAATAAATTTCTGTTTTTTAAGTCACCCAGTATGTGGTATTTTGTTAATGACTACATGGTCCTTGTATCTCTTCCTACCGTGTCTTTACCTTTAAGTCTCTGCTTAACCGTTACCTTAGAAGAACGACTTCCCCAGATGACCCTGTATGAAATAGCAACTGTTTTCCCTTTAACCTGCTTTATTTTTCTCCATGGCAGTTATTACTATCTGACACATAACTTAATTGTTCATAGAAGCTCCATACTTTATTGTAGAGCTAACTTAGAATGTAAGCTTCATTAGGGAAGGAGCTGTGTCAGTTCTGTTCAGCACTGTATCCTCAGTGTGTATATCTAAAGTGCCTGGCACTTGGTATGGGAATAAATAAAAGCAATTTTTGAAGTGACTCCTTGCCCATTCAGCTCCTGCCCTATAGGTGCTCATAGTCTGCTGGTGGCTGCCTTACCCTTAATATTCATTGCATGAAACTTCTCTTGTTGAGGTGTCAAGAGTTTAAGGTGGTGGGCACCCAGCAGCGCTATTAATCAAATCAGGTTCTCCTAGTAGGCAATTGCCTACTTTTTAATGAAAAGTCCCTTTTCCTCTTTGGCCTCAACAGGTAGTTTTGAAGTGTATGAAGGCATATGTAGTGTGAGCTGATTTTCTGAACCATTCCTAAAGACAGAAGTCTATAGGACATACTCATGTATGTAACGAATGTCAATATATGAAATAACTGCCTTAGAAAGCCCAATGTTTTTTAAAATATGAAAACCTGGGGGAAATGGCAGTCCTGGGGGAAATTTGGGTGGTTGTCATTGGCATGGAAGGAAAGAAGTAGAAAAAAAAGGGCTAATATTAACTTGTGAAGAGCTGTGTAAATGACCTCACTTTCCAAGAAGGTCTGAAAACATGCAGAGGTAGAGGATATCAAAGACCGGGCCCCAGACC